TCTCTCTCTCTCTCTCTCTCTCTCTCTCTCTCTCTCTCTCTCTCTCTCTCCCACCCATATGCTCAATTGCCCAGGACCTCAAACATGTGGTCCTGTCCACCATTAAACCATATTTCTAAACATGTTTCCAGTGTCTTTCTCCCTACTTGGAACTGAACCCAGATGGACATTTCTTCCAACAAATCTTTTAATACAGAAGAAATTGGCATTTCCCCCTGTTGAACCCTACCCGTTTCTCTTTTATAATTCCTATATTTGGCTCATAACAAATAAAGATACCATTCTCTTCTTTAACTTTTAGATGGATTAAAATCGTAATTGTTTAATGGATTTCATTTATGTTGTCCATTTCCACCCCCCTTCCATTTAATTGTGTCTGATTCTTGGAGATTGCCTGGAGAAGTCACTGCAGTTTTCTTGGCAAGGTTTTTCAGAAATGGTTTGCCACTGCCTCTTTTCTAGGGCTGAGAGAATGTGATTGGCTCAAGGTTACCCAGCTGGCTTTGTGCCTATGGCAGGACTAGAACCCTGCAGTCTCCCAGTTTCTAGTCTGATGATTCAACCACTACACCCAACTGACTCTGCTATCCAATTTAAGGGCATGTAAACTTTTTTGAGGAAAGATTGAGGGCAAAAGAAGAATTGGATGACAGAGAATGAGGTAGCTGGATGGAGTCACTGAAACAGTAGGCGTGAGCTTAAATAGACTCCAGAGGATGGTAGAGGACAGGAAGGCCTGGAGGAACGTTGTCCATGGGTCACGATGGGTCAGACATGACTTTGCAACTAACAACAACAAAACTTTTGAGACTTTAGGGACATTTCCCCACCTGTTGTAAGAGGGAAATAGCTTTCTCTACAGAAGAAAAGAAGAAATTTGTAGGCACATTTTTAAAAGGACTGCTGAATTTTACACCTTTGCCATTCCATGTGTGCAGCCTAGCTGTGATTGTCTGCCAGCAACTGAGATTGCACAAAATGCAAAATGCCAGCCTGCAGGAACAGGGAAGGGATTGTTTGCAGTAGATCAGGGCCAATGCGTCATTCCAAGAAGTCATAAAAGGAAGATCCCTGCTTAGCTCAGTCCGCCATTCTCTGTCACAAGGTTGCCAATTTTGTACAGTGGTGGGATTCAAAAATATTTACTACTGGTTCTGTGGGCATGGCTTGGTGAGTGTGGTGTGGCTTGGTGGGCATGGTAGGGAAAGGTTACTGCAAAATCCCCACCCCACTAACCTGCTTTCCAGCTCCGTTCTCCTGTGCAGGGCAACAAAATAAGACCCAGCCAATCAGCTGGGACTTGGGAGGCAGAGAATAGATGGGGGTGGGGCCAGTTAGAGGTGGTATTTACTGGTTCTCCGAACTACTCAAAATTTCCACTACTGGTTCTCCAGAATTGTCAGAACCTGCTGAATACCACCTCTGGTGCAGGTGGAGTACAGGCAGGAGGGAATAACTTTCTCTCATAGCAGGCCAGAAAGCCTCCCCAAAAGCTTACAGCATTTGGATGATGTAGCTAGAAAATTAAAGGCAACCAGGCAGACTGACTGGATAGGAAATTCAGCAATCCACAGGCCTCAGCTGATCAAATGTCACCGTTGCCATTCTGCCTCCCTCTCTGTAGAACATGGACTGGCCACGTCCTATCCAGGTAGTCCTCAACTTTCAATTGTTCATTTAGTGGCCATTCGAAGTCACAATGGCACTAAAAAGCGACTTATGACCATGTTTCACACTTATGACAGTTTCATTATCTCCATGATCACATGATCAAAATTCAGACACTTGCCAACTGATTCATATTTATGATGGTTTCAGTGTCCCGGGGTCTTGTGATCACCCTTAGTGACCTTCTGACAAGCAAGCAAAGTCAATGGGGAAGCTAGGTTCATTTAACAGCCCTGTGACTAACTCAACAACTGTGATGATTCTGGACTTCCAGTTTGGGTCTCTTCAGTGACAGACCGAAATCCGCGATCGTGCGTGGTTTCGATTTGTGCTCGCTGCTTGGATTTGGGGCTGAAGCCACCCCATAGAGGTGGTGAAGAGGAGGGAGGTTGCTAGCTGAGTGGAGGGGAGACGCATCTCTCCTCCTTGACTGGTCTAAACTCCCTTCCCCGAAGGCGGTTGCAGCGGTGGTCAGAAATGGCCACCTCAAAGAAGAACCCGACTGGATAAGATTGTGCAGGAGGAAGACAAAGAGGAAAGCAGAACAGACCGGGCTAAACAACAGAGAACATCTAAGCAAGGTACCCTGAATCTAAAAGTACTTAGAGGGATACTTCTGAAAGAAGATCTTTAAGCAGCGAAGGAGAGAGAAAAGGAGGTTAAAAACCCTTTTTTACCTTTATATTGACAATTACAAAAGGTATGGAAAGAAATTTATATTAATCTATTTTGACACTAATAGGCAACCTTAAGCTGAAATCTAAGTGTCAAAAGGAGAATAAAGATTTTTTCTTGGTCATTTAAAGCCCTAAAAAGGAGAAGAGTAGAGGCAAAAGGGTGGGACTTGGAATAATGGAAAAATTGAGTGCCACCTGGAAAAATAAAGAGGATTAACAGTGAAACTTTGAAGAGACTTCCGAGGATACATTGTAACTGAAATCTTATTAAAAGATACAGTAACCCACGGAAAGGAAAAGTAAAGGAAAGAAACAAGAAGGAACAGTCTGGGATCATTTGATGATTTTAAAAAAAAGTTTTTGGCATTGGTTTTTTCTTTCTTTTTCTGTTTTGACTTAAAGTCAATTGGGTGGTTGTTCAAAAGTGTTTAAAATGCTATCAGTCCTGGAGGAATTGAAGATGAGTCTTAAAAAACAGAAAGGAGATGCAGAAAGGGGAGGAAGATCCTTTGGCTCCGTATTTGAATTTTTTGAAATGGAGATCCTGAACTATGAAAAGCAAAAGGAAAAGCTTCAAGAGCAAGAAGAAGGGCAGGACAAAGAAGAAGCCATTTTCAATGATCAAATAATGCAAAGTGTGGTAATAAGGGGAAAAAGGGGGAAAGGAGTTAAAAGTTTGAGATCAAAGGGAACAGCCAAAAAGAAAAATAGTCTGAAAAAGAACTATAACAGCAAGGAGAAGCAGAAAAGAAAACTACAGAAGGGAAAATTAGAGAGAGAAGGGTATAAAAAAAGGGATGAGAAAAAGGGGGGAAAGATAGAAAGGGAAAGAATTTATGAGGGACAAAAACAGGAAATAAAGAAAAAGGGGAAAAGTACTAGGATTAAAGGTATTTGCTCAGCTAGAAAACACAGAGACAATGGTTAAATTAAGTTAAAAGTGAGGATTCTGCAAAGGTACAAAAGATTGTGTTGTGACAGTAGAATACTGTAATGAGTTAGAAATGAAATAAGTAAATAATCTATGAGATAAAACTGTATTGTTATGTAATGGTATGTTTATTTATAATTAATGCAATAATAAAGAAGAGAGGGAAACATTGCAATTGTTTCTAAAGATTGATAAAATATTGAAAAGAAATGTGAAAGATTTATAAGGAAATTTATACCAGTTATTAGAATGAATTTGAATAATTATTTTGCTTATTAATAGTAAATAATTTATAAGATAAAACTGTATGACTATCCAATGGTATGCTTATTAACAGTTAAGTAATAATGAAGGAGGGAGGGAAACATTTCAATTGTTCTCAAAGATTGATAGATATTGAAAAGAAACATGAAAGATTTACAAGGTTCATACCACTACTAGAATGAATTTGAATAACTATTTTGTTTACTAATGTTTATATATTTATATTGTTTTTGCTATGTTTTTAGATTTTTTCTTTTTACATTTTCAAGGGGAAGTACCAAGCAGAGTCTGAATGATGAGATCTACATGATATAAAATAGATATTAGAAATTTGAATGTTATAATTTTAGAATGCACAAATTCAATGTTTAATGAGATTTCATATGATAATAACAATAAGATTTAAAGGCGTTGCACTTTGATTGGCAACCATAGGGGGAATTTTGCTTCTTAAGAATGTTGGAAGAGAACATATGAAATTGTAAACAAGACAGACAAAAGTATAAGTACAGTGAATAAAAAGATATAGAAATTTAGGTAAAAGAAATACAATTGAATAAGAAGAAAATGAAATAACCATAAAAGAAAATTAAGAGAAGTAAAGGGAGAAATAGTGAGAAGTTGGAAAAAGAGTAATAAGATATGAAGTTGAATACATAAGATGAATATGCATATGAAATTGTGTCTGTATGGAAATGTGATAACCTGGAACAATGCTGTACTCAAATAAGATGTTTTATTTGTTTTGTTAAAACTCAGTAAAACTTTATTTAAAAAAACAACAACTGCAGTGATTCCCTTAACCACTTAGAAAGGTTGTAAAATGGGGCAAAATTCACTTAACAACTATCTC